TTGTAAGGTATTGTAAGGTATTTTATTTACCAGTGAAAGGTAGTAACTATTAAACTGCACCTGAGACTATCCAGTTGTTCTGAACAGAAGAAACTAATACATTCAGTTGAAACTGCAAAGAATTAAGGTGGCAGATGGTAATTACTAATACTGGAAGTAAGACTGGGTAAATGTGGTTAGATCTTCAGTTTAATGTCTCATCTATGAGGTGTTGCATTCATGACATAAAACTCTTTTGCGTCTGTATGGGAACGTGGCTCATTATGGACACATTAGAGGAAAAAATAACAACTTTTCTTGTACCTTTCTTTTCCAAGAAAAGACTTGATTAAGCCATGAGATAACAATAGACCAGAATGGCATGTGTATCACCAGATGAAAGGCCCTTTCCATATGCCTGTACAATGTCAGAGACAAAAGTCTGATTTCCATTTTTTTATTTTTTCAGATTTTTACTGATGAAGCGATGGCTATTTACTTGACATTTTATTCCCCAGTATTAAGAACATGAGACACAAAGTTGAATACATGAGTCTGATCCTGAGTTTGTGAATGTGGAAAATAGAGAAAGAGGGGCTGTAAGGTAAATAAATAAATTCAGTTTGAGATGTGAAGTTTTACAAGTCCCCTGCAACTTAAGAAACTCCAGCAACCCAAGCAAAATGACCCTTCTAGCATATGCTATTCCTGGCCTTTCATTAGAAACAACCAAGTGAAGGAGAATGAAGGCCAGTTACACGTGCTATTTGACAGCTTCAAAGCACTAACCACTACAGTAATATATACAATACTCCACTTGCATATATTGGACACCAAAAAAAAACCCACAGTTTTCAAAGTGGTTATGTAAGTAAAACCACTAGATTCTGAAATCATGCTCTCTGTTGTCTGTTATAATATTTAAAACTTTCCCGGTAATAAACTTGGCCTGCTTTTAAATAATGAAAGGCATTGCAAAAAAAATACTGGTATGTTGCTTTTAATATTACTGCCCATGCATCATACTCATGTCTGCAGATTAAAAGTACAGAGTTGCTAAAAGACACTGAAAGAAAATTATCTACTCACAAATATGATATTTCTCTGCACTAATCATAAAGATGCCAAAACATTTTATTTGTATATTCCTTTTATATAAAATTATTGATCTAAATGTTGTAGTCATAGCAGTATGATTGGATGGCCAGGACAAGTTACAAGTCTGAAGTAAAAAAGAAAGGATTGTTATCATTCTCCTTGCTCTGTCTTGCCCATTTCACAAAGTCATTCTCATACTAGCAGGATGTAATTGTTCTGAACTGTAATATTTAGTCCACCCACCAAGTCTGAGACCAGTGTCACTATAAAACCATCTTTAAAGGAGCGTTCCCAGAATCCCAAATTGTGGTAGACAATAAACAGCTTCACCAAGTTTTCACTTTTTAAATGAAAATCATTTTTCTGTGTACTGAAGACTGTTTGTTTAGAATGGTTATAAAAACTGTAAAATTATGTGCAACTGAATGGGAAATGATCCCATAAGTGTGGGATGTTTAATTATCTATCAAGAGGAAATTACACTGGTTTTCTTTTTCCCTTTATGCAAAGGTTTGTTTAACCACTTCAAACCCTGAGCCATCTACTATTTCTGTAATTTTCAGGTTTACTTTATTAAACGTGTTTTTACCTCTTCCTCTAAAATTCTTCAAATCCTTACTGCTTCTATGATTTACCCCACTATAGAGTTAACACATTCTTCCCAAGAGTGGTCTTTTTACCTGAGACAACTAAGTCAAATTTCAATGTTCTAAGCATTAGGCCCAATGTCTTAGGTAGTTTCCTGCTTGTTTCTCTGAATCTGGAATGGAAAATTAGAGATGTTTTTCAGTAATAAAGCAATTATTCTGGCAAGAAACTTGTCCAGAAGTACAGACTACATATATATTTGCAGAGTTCACCATTATTCTTCTAACCTACCAGCCTTTAGGTTCTGATGTTATACTCTGAACTGTTACCAAAAAAAATCCCAAAACTTAATTAAAAAATTTACTTGCAGAACAAAAATATCCAGGTCCAAAAATTATAGTAATGAACTAACTTTACAAATGCATGTTGGGAGCAGAACTTACAACTGACCCTAAGAATACTATTCCATACCATGTTCAGTGAAGGAGAATGTCTACAATGGGTAATTGCTACTAAGATTTGTATGCTTTTAGAGGACATCACTTACAGAATTAACTTGCAAACTCTTCAGAGAGCCATGAATTTTTCCACCAAATTATGATTTAAATAGTTCAGAGTAATATTGGGGAAGTTATGCTCATAGCCACTAGATAAGAAAATACATCATGTTGTTTTTCAATAACACTCTTTACTGTTTATTGAAAGCAATACTATTCCAGTAGGCCTTTCCTGACTCAATTAAAGAGATCAGTTACAAAACAAGTGGTCTCAGACATTTTCAAAAGGTGAAAAAATGTAAGATATATGAAAACATTCCTCCTATTTCCAGATATTTTCAAATATTACTTACTATTTTCATCAAGAGAAAATACGTACCTTAGCTAAGTGTCTCAAGATTCTGAAGGAAAGTCAAGACATAATAGTATGTCGTGTACTACTCATAATGTTAGATCGGTACTTGTTGGAATGTGTCATGGCAATTTTGACATTCACTTTTAAAGGTACTTTTCAAAGTAGTAAGAAGACAAAACTTTATATCCTTCAATTTAAACTGAATACATTCATCAATTCTTTTTTTTATAAAAATGACGGAATAATAGTTGTAGTAAATACTTAAAGAGATCTCACTGGTTTTTTAAGATCTTACAGAAACCGTAGTACCTCAGAGGAGCTTAGGCACTAGAAATGTTTAAAATCAATCCTTAAAAGCAATCACTATAAACCGCTATGAAACTTACGTACAATAAAAAGAAAAATTTCCTAAGCAAAATCTGAATTCTTGAATACAAGTGTTGACAATGTATTTCTGGAGTACAGAACATTCCTCTTCCCATCCCACTTTTCAATGCTCTTATAAAAAATGCCATACTGTTATGAAAACATGTTTTAAAAATTCTTAAGGGAAAAGTTTCCTAGGGTTTGAAATTCCTCCTTTCCCTATTTCTTTACAGATTTCTAACACCAACACTGTTCCTGTCGTTTCTCAAAAAAGGTAAAAATAAAAATAACCTCTAGGTATAATCTTTAGATTTTCTATTATACTTCTCAAATTCCTTTTGGTTTTGTAACAAATGCAAACTGAAATCTACATTTATATTACTGACTGTATTTTAATTTCAGTTAATCTTGCAGCATGAAGAAGTAGATGGTGTTTGACCGCACTATTGCCCATACTTAGAAGAATCATATAGGGATGTGATTTAATTAATTAAATAACCTGAAAATATTTTCACTTTCATCAATTTTTGCCTACTTTTTTTTTTTTAATCTAACTGTAGGCACCAAAAAAAAAAAAAGGCTTTGCTTCAAGTTCCTACCTCTATAATAAAAAGCATGAGGCAACGAGCTACCACTTATCTATATGAAAAATTTACTGCAACTGCCCCATCTCCATATCTCTCCTTTTAAGCAAATATTTGAATACAATTATTCCAAGCTAGGGATTCCATAATTTTCACAGAAAAATCAAGCTGGATTTTAGAATACTTTTTACATGATAATTTTGATCAAGCAGTTAAACTTTTGGCCATGGATGAGTCAAGCTGTTCGGAGATATGGAATCATGTTACTGGCAGGGTAAAAAAATAATCTTTGAGCTAGTCTGTTTACTTTAACAGACCTAATTATGAACTCAAGTGTTACTCCACCACCTAATTCCTAAAGGAAGAGCTATATGGCCCAGGATCATTTTCCATCACGCAAGCGATGAGGGATATCAGTTCAAATTATGTCTCCTGCAAATATGTGTTTTGCTGTAGTTTTATTTCGTTGTTGTCCTTGGCTCTTCCTCCATCATCTCTAAGATCACTCTTGCTATGTAGAATTATAGTAAGAAAACACCAGAACTTTTCATGTAATCCTAGCCAAGAGTTACTCTACAAACTACACTCTGGGAAGCACTGAATATCCATGCTAAGAATTGTCCAGCATCAGAATCAGAAAATTTACTCAGCACAATCATCTCTGTTATTCCTAGAAACAAGAATTGTGATTTTTTCCTTGCATTTCAGCCTGATGTGTGTCAAGATGCTGAGGTTTTTGATTGCTCTGCTGCATATTCTTTGCTTAAGAAACACCTCTGCTTACTATTGATGGTAGTGAAAGGTCATGGACCCTACGCTACAAGTTTCTGTTGTGTGTAGCATCCCTACACTGCTTGCACCAATTTGAAAAAGCATGGTCTGTATTTAAAATGCTCTTACAAATATTGTTTGGCAACTGGTAAGTACTATATCCTTCTTTAAGAATTAATATCCACAAAATTATGATAGGTGTCAATACCTTGTTCTTAAAGTACTTGTTGTATTCAACACAAGCACTATTATGGACGTCTTCGAGCAAAAAGATTTGTGAAAAGGCATATGACCTTCTTCCCACTACAATGGCCATCTCCTAATTAAGCAATGCATCTGATAGTCATTAACAGGAATGAGATAATGAATCACTTTCTCTCTTCTTTGCTAATTTGCTGTAACCAAGCGGCTAATGGATGTCAGAGCTGAGTGATTGCACTGATTATAGTGATTTATAGTTGCAACAAAACAATTTAAAACCATTCTGATTATTCATGTTAAAGATGCTTTATGTTTTGTTTACTAAATGTTTTATGTTCCCCCTCATGCCCCTCTACATAGAATGAGACAGGTCTTCCTGGAAAACTTGAAAGTTCTAAGATTTTTTTTTTTGTTTCAGAGTAAGGCATTTCATTTTGTTTATAAAAAAAAAGTTTACCCAGTAGAAATGAAAAGCCTTAGGGTGGAAAGAAAACTTCAGTGGTGCCTAGTTCAAAAGAAGAAGGAAATAAGAGGAAATAAGGCAAACTTCAAGCCACTTACCTTAGGGCTCCCAGTCCCTTCCTCATTCTCTGCAGACACATCAGTAGCCAGTATTTCTGCTTTGATGATATCCAGAGCCCTAAGAATCCAGCTGTGTTGCCGTTTGATTTGCTTCTGTAGTTCTTTCCACTGACTTGCAATCATCTGCAGCATGTCCTTCAGTCCTTCTCCACAATGAAGGGGTAAAAAGTAAAAGCTGTAAACTCAACAGCATCTTTAAATATTATCCTTTATTCAAATAATAAGCAGGATATTTAAAATAATAAATGCAACAAGAATTTTAGTGTGTTTTCTCAGCAATAAATCCAAGCATTACTATTGTTCATACTGCAAAACAGTGCTATAGGGTCAAACATTTCTTTTAGCCATCATGGTAAATTTTGATAATGCGTCAGCTGACAGTTTCAAGAGAAAAATTCCACATAAACTGTCATTCCCCTGGCAGTAGGGAATACTGGTAATCTTCCCCTCTAATATCTAGTCTTTATCTTGAAACATTTCGTAATCTTCCAAACACATTTTTCTTGCCTCCAACTCCTTTAAATATTTTCTGTAGTTTACACATTACCGATTTTTATGTCTACGGTGACATGCACTACTCTTCTTTGCTATGGCTATTTTTTTAGAACTATACATACAAGTCAGTAACTTCTTATAGCTTCCCTTTACACAGATCTGTCTGATCTGTGAAACAAGAGGCACACATATAACATAATCAGAAAACAGTAGACCAAAGAATAACTTCAACCTGGATGAAGAGCATGCTAAGTGGGCCAAAATTAAGATGGCATTCCGTAGCAGTATATGCTGATTAAAACCCTATTATCAGACAAGTCACGCAAACATCTAAAAATATAGGAGGTGGTAAGGATAAAGGGAAATCAGTACATCTGTTTCCCTCCTCTACATTTAAGGCCTCTGCAAAAAAAGACATACCTAACCAAAAGAAAAGGGTATTTTTAATTTTAATCTAGTGCTCATAAATATATTTAAATCAATGTAAGAATTAGTTTAAGTGGTAAAATAAAGCTTCACCAATGCAATTACCCATGCAGAGTATGTAAATACATACATATATATTTGAAATACTAATTCATTATCTTAATGTTATTTCCATAGCACCTATATCAAAGAATATGTCAGTGTGAAGTTTTCAGTGATGTGATTTCAATTGAAACTCAGCTGAACAGCAAGACCAAAATAAAATGAACAGACTATTTGCAGGCAGTATTTCATTTTATAAGTATCACTGCATTGTATGCAGTATATGAAACATTTATAAATCTTGAAGGTCAATCTGATAATGTAAATATTAATAATACATAAGGAAGTGAATATATGCAGTAATTTACAGCAATGCTTCTTCATTCTTTAATAGTCTGGAGACATAAAGACTTGCAATATTTCAGAAGGATTTACCTGATTTGTGAGATACAATAAGCTCAAGAAGTTGGCGTCCTTCTTCTACCACTGCTTCCTTTAAAGCAGAGTGGCTATCTACATTCAACTTAAAACTCTGGGGGGAAAAAAAAAACAAGAAAAAAAAAAAGAGAGAAGAAACCTCAGCATCAGACATTATAGAGGCAGTTATTGTAAAACACATGTACAAAATTACTTGTTTTTTATCAAGAACCACATCCCTATTTACCCAATAGCCAAACTAATTTGTGATACTAAAAGCTACTGATATTTTGGATCTGGGCTCAAAATGTTTCCATCAGATCAGCAAAGTGCATCTGTGTTGAAACAGCTGACATATCTAGACATTCATTAGGTTTTATGAAAAGTCACAACCCGCAGGCTATATCTGGAGTAACTGTGTTCTAAAAAATACACTAAATTTATGCTACCACATATGAACTCTGGGGGTTTTTTCAGGTTTCTTTGAAATGTTGGTGATAGCACTATTTATGAAACCATAAAAAAATTACATCGTTGAATATACTGGCCTTATGTGCACTCACACAAATCTATTAATACTGTGTTCCTGAGTTAACTCTCATATCCATTTTCAAAGAACAAATCAGTCTGCTTTAGATCTCAGCATTCTTAATTTGCAAAGAAAGTATTTTTCAAACATTTTTTCACTAATATTTTTATTAGTTTACAAAGGATCTGTGCTTTAACAGTCAAAAATATTTTGTCTCTTTTTTTAATTTTATTTTTAAAAATTGCTTTAAAATCTAGTAGCAGAGAGAGGAACTGGAAACACGATATGCCATTTAATACACCAGTGATAACTTGGATAAATTTTTTAATTATTTGCCAGAGCTTCTCATCATACTGTAAGAAAGAGAAAGAAAACACAATAGAGAAAAGGGTACTTGCTGTATTTAATCATAAATTGTGTGCAACACTTTTCTCTTTGAAATGACTATGGAATAAATGGAAATAATACATGACCACTTGGAAAAAAAGAGCTTTTCCATCTCTTGGAAATGAGTTAACTGGCAGACATGAAAGGAGACTTTGCAAGTGCACATTCATAGCTTCTGTTTTTTATAAGACTTATTTATACTTCTCCAAATGCTAGTGACCATGCTAATACTGGAGTAGCAGACACCACAAAATACTCAAAAGCTGTCAATCCTTAGGGAAGCAACTATTTCCTCTCTTTCCGAACTCCTGTAGTGAGGCTGATTGGCATAGCAGAAAATAATATTGCCAGAACTGTAATAAAATGAGGTACTTTTACTGTATTCATCATGGTTGAAAGAGGGATGTTGCTCAGATAGGCTCTTAACAGTCTTTCAGGCAGCATTGTACCTGACAGTGACAGAATGTTTTTGAGAATTCTCCATTCAAATAAAGAGCAAAAACCAGGAATTTTGCTACCTTCAGCATTTTGTCTAGTCCAATTTTCCTCGTACGGACATCTGAATATACTGTTTTGCACCAGCTGTTGAACAACTGGGCCAGCCAAGAAAAGTTAAAAGGGAGGAAGGATGCCTAGTTTATGTGTCCCCTTCTTAAATCTAGAGTTTTATGAAACCAAATCCAGAAGTCCTTTTTCCTTCATAAAACCATGTCTGAACAAGCACTGACAATATTTAATTTACTGTTTACTTAAAACAGGCTTGTACTGAATAGTTTGTAATCATGCACTTCACAGGAAATGCACTGTGCGTGTCTCACCCAGCAAAAGAGAAGCTAAAGGACCTGAGAGTAGGTTGTGTAATTTCATATAATTGAAGTCGAGTATAGATGCAGCTGGATTTGGCAGTGTCTCGAGATGATGTGGATGTGTTTGATAGGAAAATTGGAAAAGATGAGGTATTCTTTTTCATTAGGAAAAAAAAAGAGACTTGCTACCCTAGAAAAGATTCATTTAACATAACACACCAGCTACTACAATACAGCTTGATTTTCAGGTGCACCTATTAACCAGTAATAATGTTAAACTGAAGAAGCAAAATATGATGAATAAAGATGGGGCCAAACTTTTGGGTTTTGACTAGCAATATTCTCCTCGTGCAAAATTCTTATTTTATGGATAAATTATGCTTGGTACAAATACCATGAACATACATGAAATTTAGCAGAAATAAGCTTTTGTCAGCATAGAGGCATCATGTCATGGTTTAACCCCAGCTACCAACTAAGCACCATGCAGCCTCTTGCTTAGTCCTACCTCAGTGGAACGGAGGAGAGAATCAGAAGGGTAAAAGCTAGAAAATGTGTGGGTTGATATAAAGACAGTAGGGAAAGCAAAAGCCACATGCGCAAGCAAAGCAAAATGAAGAATTCATTCACCACTTCCCATGAGCAGGCAGGTGTTCAGCCATCGCCTGAAAAGTAGGGCTTCATTACACATAACAGTTACTTTGGAAGACAAATGCTGTAACTCTAAGAATCCCCCATCTTACTCCTTCTTCCCCCAACTTTCTGTACTGAGCATGATGTCATTTGGTATGGAATATCCCTTTGGTCGGCTGGGGTCAGCTTTCCTAGCTATGTCCCTTTCCAGCTTCTTGTCCACCCCCAGCCTACTTGCTGGTGGGGTGGTACGAAGAGCAGAAAAAGCCTTGATGCTGTGTAAGCACTGCTCAGCAGTAACTAAAACATCCCTGTATTATCAACACTGTTTTCAGCACAAATCCAAAACATAGCCCCATAGTAGCTACTATGAAGAAAACTAACTCTCTCACAGCCAAAACCAGCACACATCAAAAGGAGAGAACTATTCATATAAGTATAAATACAAACAGAAGCAAACGAAACTGTCAGTTGATGTAGTGAAGTATGAGTTTTGAATTTAGAATTATATATGTGGTAATTTCCTAAGAAAAATGAATAACTGGACAAGGAACACTGGAAGGAATAATCCTCAACCAATGTTCAAGGTTTCTCATGCATAAAGGGCTGAAAATGTGACACATGAAAAAGACGAGAGTTGAAGATGTAACAAGTATTACATGTCTATACAATGGAGATATGCAAATTTACACAGCTAAGTATAATATCAGACCAAATATTTGGAATTGAGGAAGACCTTCAAACACAGAGGTCCTCTCCCATCCTGGATATTTCCCTACTGTTTACTTATGGCATTTGGAAAATTGTAACTCTAACAGCGTGTGACCCAGGTACTCTGCTCCCCTCCTTCTCTGATCTTCCCTGATAATGAATGAAGCCTTTGTGTGTGAAGAGAGGAAAGGAGAAGAGGAGGGAAGTCAATTAATCAAAGCCTTTTTTCCAGACACATTTGCAGCTATAGAGAAGTCTAAATATCACACATGAGCACGTATACATTATAGAAAATGCATGTGCATTGGCCTGACAGCAGCTTTTTAAACAACACATTAATGTCATCCCTCACACTACAGTGTATTTAATGTAGTTTACAAGCTGCAACAAGCAAAATTTCCTTACGCAAGTTCTCTGCACTTTTCCCAATTACCATGTACCTATATATAACTATCAATTGTTCTTATTTAGCAAGAAAGGAAAAGTGAGGCAGGAATTATGCTGTTTTAAAAAAGCTTGCAGAACTGTAAACAGGAATAAAGACTCCAAGGGTGTAAATGCAAAGCCCCAAGAGTGCTATCTTCTGTTGACAGCATGGTAGCAAGGAGCCCAGCCTTCACAAAATGAAGCTGTCCTCTGACCTTCAGGAAACTTATGGACCTACCAGACAACAATAGTACAGAACCGCCATGAGGAAAAAAAAGCATCCCCTCCTTATCTGTGCTGGACTCTGAATACACTAAAAATATGAGAGTGCTTTCCTAGAATATAATAAACTCTCCTTCTCACCTTATTTGTCTTTACAACTGGAGATTCGAAAAAATTGTTGGAAAAAAAATTTATTTGATGTTCCTCAAAGGATTTATTTTATGGTTGTAGCTACTTATATGTAGGAAACTTCTACTGAGTAGGTATCCTGCACTATGTACATGTTGAGATACCCAATGTTTTGCTATTTATTATATATTTGCTATTATATATAACCCTCTGTTCTTAGAAAAACCTTTGCAATTTGGTAATACACAACCTGGGTCTCGACACAGACAATTAGCAAATTTTTTTTTGTTTCCAGAGGCACAGAGGCTTTGAAAAGCATGATTTACTTTTTTTTTAAGTCATAGGGTATCCAACTAATTGTTTCCAGTGTACTACCTCTGAAACAGAAATCGGCAACTAGAAGATATCATGTGAACCTACAATGTATACATAAATATAGTTTGGATGACACAGCAGTTTACACCTATCGCCAGATTAAGAAGTGTATTAAAAGAAATATTTTTTTTTTTCTCAGTCAAGTATGTTATTAGCATGTGTGGTGTACTGGGATATACCTGAAGGACAGTTCTCTTGAGGTTCATTTTTGATGTTTTTAAATACCTTTGAGAAAAATATTACTGTTTCTAGGGTGTTTATTTTTTTAGAGCAATGCTACAGACAATTAAAAATTATCTGATTACCCTAGATTCTATAAATTTAGAATTTGAAAAAGAAAGCTTAATGTAAATTTCCTAATAATATTTTGCATTTTTTGAGAAATCTACAATATTACTGAAATATGGACTTCTATATTTAGCTACAGTTGAATGTATGTTTTGGCTAAGAATGTAGCACTTTTAATTATAACACTCACTGTGGTAGATATAATTTAGAGTGAAAATTAGAGTGATGGAACAGTTTCTGGCAGAAAAGTTATGGGAATCTTTTGACTGAGACAATCACAGAAGGATAACCAATCTCCCACAGACATTATCAGAAATGTTATGTTTTGAGAGGGAGGCAGTTTAAACATGCAGTAAAGCTCTAAGAAAATGAAACAAGTGTTTTACTTCTTTGTTAAATATATTCTATATACCAATAACTGCCAAGAAAAATATTATTATGAAAATTCAATTTTAATTTTTTAAATTAACACATTTCATTTGTCTCAAAAGATATATGACAAAACAGATATTGAAAATTTGTTCTTACATGCTTAATACTCAGCTACTTTTGCAAGTCCATTGGTCCTGGCACAGTTACCTTCCAGTAACTTGCTATGACAAAATACCA